AGCTGCACTGTCCTTGGCAAATGGTCAGGAGAAAAATGTAAAGTTAGAGAGAACCTGTGAAGGAACTCCTTCAGTCCTAGGAATTGTAGGTGATTCCTCTTCTACACACACTATTACCATCTCCAGGATCTTAGGTTTGTACAGAGTACCACTGGTAAGTTTACTCATTATGTGCATATACCAATTTACTGTGACTGATAACGTTTTGAGCTTAAAACAATTTAGCAATTATTTTCCTGTCTTTATGATGCTCAGGTATGATTCTTTTTTACAGGTGAGTTATTTTGCAACGTGTTCCTGTCTTAGTGACAGACAGACGTTTCCATCTTTTTTCAGGACAATTCCAAGTGACTCATTTCAGGTAAGAATTTGCATTATATTCAAACCTCCCAAGTTATATGCAAAAAAAAACATTAACTTTTGTTTCAGATTATGCCAAAAATTATCACGTGCCCAGGTGCCTCTTCTCTGTTCACATAGGTGCGTGCTATGATTCAGATTCTAAAACACTTTGGTTGGACTTGGGCAGGTCTGCTAATCAGTGGTGATGACTATGGAGTCCATGCAGCCCGATCCTTTCAGTCTGATCTAGGTCCAATTGCTGGAGGATGTCTGGCTTATACAGAGATTTTGCCATGGACAAATGATCGTACTGAACTGAAGAGAATAGTTAATGTGATGAGGAAATCAACAGCACGTGTGGTCATTGTGTTTGCACATCAGCCTCATATGCTCAATCTCATGGAAGAGGTGAGTCCTTGAAAAAAATGCAGTTTGTTTATTAGAAATGTGTATTAATGCATGTTTATCTTTTTATACACAATTTTAATTGTAAAACTATACAAAAAAGCAAATCATTTTTATATTTTATATCCAGGTGGTAAGGCAGAATGTGACAGGCCTGCAGTGGATGGCCAGTGAAGGCGGGACATCAGCTGCTGTGCTACAAGCGCCTCACCTCATGCCATACCTGGGTGGAACCCTAGGCATTGCCATCCGTCGAGGAGAAATCCCCGGTCTCAAGAATTTTCTGTTAAAAATACGCCCTGATCTAAAATATAATAACAGCAATGGAAACAACTTGGTGTGAATACGTTCATATCATTTCATAAATTGTAGCTGTAAATACTACAAGTAGATTCACTATGTTGAATGTGTACCCCAGGTGAATCAATTTTGGGAACACACATTCCAGTGCAGATTTTCACCAACTCCAGCAGGTTGGATAGAAGATGGAGGAGCATTATGCACTGGACAGGAGGTATTAGAGGATGAAGTAGCTGAGGAATTCTTGGATGTTTCAGACCTCAGACCAGAGTATAATGTGTATAAGGCAGTGTATGCTCTGGCACATGCTCTTGATGACATGCTGCAGTGTGAGCCAGGAAGAGGACCTTTCAGTGGAGACACCTGTGCTCATTTACAAAGACTAGAACCATGGCAGGTGTGTTGGCAGTTAACAATCTACTTCTTAATCCTGTACAGTCTTTCAACCATGAGCCCACTCAGTACTTTACTCAATTCACAAGTAAATTGGTGAACATCTTGATGGCAGTACATGACATTAGAACAAAAGGAAACTGGCACCAAGCCACGCATTATATTAATGGACCGGCAAAGTTCTTCATGCAGATGTAGCTCTTCTTGTTTAGGAGTGTATGTGGATGAACTCGTTAAGATTCAGTTCATTCTGTATGGCATTCGGCATCCCAACATATACACATTGGTCAAGGTCCTCAACCTCATAGGCCAAGCAACAGAGTTGATCACTTAGCTTCAGTTATGGAACTCACAGAGCAGAGACTCGATTAGGTTGAGCTCTCCAAAGCATCTCTGCAAAGTTCCAACCAGAATGCTGTCGTCCTCCTCCGAGCTCAGCAGCTGCAAACAGGCTGAAGCTTCCTCTGTTAGTGATAGAGTCCACTGCAATGCTTACATCTGTTTCAACCAGCCTGCTGTTACAGCTAAAAGTTCAAACTGAGGTTCATACGCCTCCCGGTTTCCTTTACCAAAGAATTTTGACATTTTATAATTAGGAATGAAAGGGCTGCAGGGTGTCGCCAAGTTTGCTTACAACCAGGCCCAGGCTGATGGAGTACTACTGCAACCAGAGCAGCTCCCCAATGGCGTGAAATGTCAGGCCTGCGGTGTCGCAGCTCAGTGCTTTGTGAATGTCACAGCACTTTCTGACACCTTGTTTGCACTCTTTGGGCTCTGCTTTGATCTCTAGTTACGGTCCAGTATTGCTGAGCATATATTTTTTGTACTTATTCACGCAGGGGGTCTTACCTTGATCTTCTGATACCAATGTAACACAATGATCTAGCAAACTTCACAATACAGACAGCGACAGACCCCTAACTGCATACATCAAACCAGTAGGTCAGGGATAGTGAGGTTGGGAGTGAGGCAGCCATAAATGTAACTAAGCCTTTTCCTATTAAACAGGAAATCTGCTAATTCAGTTAATTATACTATTAATTAGATCAGAGTGATTTAAAAACAAATATTTAAGTGTGGACCCATTTATTTAGTGATTAAATAGTTGTTTTTTCTGTGAATAAGTAAGGTCAGGCTCCTGGTTTCTTCTCATTAAAAAACAATTCTGCAAATTCCCTGACCTTAAAATGAAAATGGACAACAGCTGCCAAACTAAGAATGACTCATGCTTGTTAATAGAACGTAAAAGAAAGAAAGAAAGAAAGAAAAAAGTCTGGCCTGTTGAATTCCGTTTATCTTTTGGAAAAGGTGTATTTTGGTTTTTAACTACTTTTTATTCATTTCCTGTTTTCTACAGCTTGTGCACTATTTGGAAAACATCAACTTCACCACATCATTTGGTGATCAAGTGTCATTTGATGAAAATGGTGATGCCTTACCAATATATGACATCATGAACTGGTCTTGGCTGCCTGATGGAAGCAGTAAAGTTCAAAATGTGGGTGAGGTGAAAAGGTCAACCTTCAAAGGTGAAGAACTCACTCTTGATGAAGAAAAAATCTTCTGGAATTTTCATCCTAAAAAGGTTAGTTTCCTACCTTTTCATTAGGGTGTGAATCAGGCTAAACTGAGGGACCCAGGTCGAAAAGTTTTTTTTATTGTTCTGAGTCTATGGTCTAATTTTTTTCAGTTTCTGATGTAATCATGTAAAATAGTTGGTCACACATTTAAAGAAAGAGTGAGAAAATTTACACCGTATCATTGTGAATGCTTCCTCTGGTTTTTTGTTTTAAGCTTTGTGAATGTCATCTGATAGATATACTGTATGTATGGCTGTTTCTCATGAACATTCCCCTGAGAAAACTCTGCTAAGGCGAAGAAGTAGGATGACGGGAAAATGGGGCAGTTTAGGAGGTACACATGCTAGTCTAATGACTAACCCAATTCTAGTCATTAGACTAGAAATGTCTCATTTCCATGCTTTTTTTTTTTTTTTACAATATGGCTAAATCAGAGCATTCTTGGTGCTGAGGTGCAGCTACAGGGGCTACATTTTTAATTGATTGGATTATCTATATCCCCTGTGCAAAGCACACAATTTACAGTGTTAACTGCACCTGGACATTTTGTTTTTACAATTTATACAACATCTCACAATATCTACAAAGTAAATTGTTATTAATACTAGCTTTTTTATTTTTATTGGGAGAACACAACATTGTTTTTATGAACTTTATGAACTGTATAAGAAAATTACAATCAATGAATCTTGAAACCTGACAAGCAATGGAACCTGGTAAAGTAGTTGCATTCAAGCATATTTTCTCTTTTGCTTTTTCTCCATACAGCCTCCTCGGTCAGTTTGTAGTGACAGCTGTCCTCCAGGTACCCGCATTGCCCGGAGAAAAGGGCAACCTGACTGTTGTTTTGACTGTGTACCTTGTTCTGGGGGAAAGATCAGCAATGCAACCAGTGAGTGTAAAGTTTTTCAACCTTACGCTCTTCTATTAGAATCTGTATACAGACCATTTTACTCTTGTGAGACTAAAGTGCATAAATTCAACAGATAATATATAGAAGAAGACTGAAATATACTTATTTTTAACAACCTTCATATAAAGTGCTGGAGGCTCGTGCTAAATTGTATTGTGTGGGATTCAGTGTCACAAAAACCTTTCAAGTGGAATAGTCACTTTGCAATTACTATAATTAGTGCCACGTCATTAGGGTTGCCAACCATTCCTTAAGAAAATATGATTCCGGTTGAGCTGAAAAGGGATGCACTTTGTCCTGTATTACCTTGAGAATCAAAAGCAGCCTGTAAATTGTTAATGGAATTAATAAATAACGGTGCTTTATATTAAAATGGATGCACCCCGTATTGAGCTGAGAACGGAGCTAGCAATCCTATGCATGATTATGATCTATAGAACAATTGTTAGACTTAGAATGTATTAATAGTTAATTAATAGTTGGACTGAAAAACCAGCAGAGTTACTGTGGTTTTGTTTTGTAAAATTTCTTAGTGACTTAAACAACAGTGTCAAACAAGAAAATACTTTACAATGAACAATTTTCTCTTTTTTATAGATTCCATGGAGTGCATCAGTTGTCCAGAAGATTTCTGGTCCAACATCCAGAATGACCACTGTGTTCCTAAGAAAACAGAGTTCCTCTCCTATCATGAGCCTCTTGGTATCTGTTTGACAGTTACCTCTGTACTCGGCTCATTCATTTGTCTAGTTGTGTTGTGCATTTTTGTTCATTATCGCAGCACACCTATCGTTCGTGCTAACAACTCTGAACTTAGTTTTCAGCTGTTGATGTCACTCAAGCTGTGTTTCCTTTGCTCGTTGCTCTTCATTGGACCACCCAGATTATGGACATGCCAACTTAGACATGCAGCATTTGGCATCAGCTTTGTGCTTTGTATCTCATGTATCCTGGTAAAGACTATGGTGGTTCTGGCTGTATTCAGAGCCTCTAAACCTGGAGGTGAAGCCAGTATGAAGTGGTTTGGTGCTGCTCAGCAGAGAGGAACAGTTCTTGTTCTGACCTCAGTACAAGCAGCAATCTGCACTGTTTGGCTTGTCTCTGCTTCACCAGCTCCTCACAAAAACACCCAGTATCACAGTGACAAGATAGTGTATGAATGTGCCATTGGCTCCACTGTTGGTTTTGGAATCTTACTTGGTTATATTGGTTTATTAGCCATTCTTAGTTTTGTGTTAGCTTTTTTGGCAAGAAATCTTCCAGACAGTTTCAACGAGGCCTCTCCAGGCAAATATGCAGATGCCGTGGAGGTGTTTGCCATCCTGGCCTCTAGTTTTGGACTTTTAGTAGCACTGTTTGGACCCAAATGTTATATAATCCTGGTTAGACCAGAGAGAAACACAAAGAAAGCCATTATGGGCCGTGGTGCTTAAAACTGTCTGTATCAGCATGACCCTTTTGATGCTTAACTCATCACTTAAAAAAATATTCTTTACAAATTAATTTCTCAAAAGCAAGGATATTATCAATCTGTACAAAACATTTTTACACATCTGTTCCAAGTTAACAGAATTGTATTTATGTCATTATTTTATTATATGAGGATACTTTTTGTCAATCACAACATGACCATAAATTCTACTGTTTTTGAATGCTTGCTTTTATTTTTAACAGTGCAATCAATGTAGCCCAACAGAAACCAATATCAATAAATATTTTCATATTGTGACTGTAATTAAAAAGAATATCAATAAATAAATAAATATTATAATTAGAGTTAAATCCCAATGTTAATGTACAATGGAATAAATATCATGAAATAAATAAATAAAAATTGAGTCTTTGATGGTGAAACCTATTGATTTTTAAGGTGAAACACTAAACACATTAGTACTTTATTAGCACCAATTCACCACAGACAGATAGGCGTTTTCCAGCATGCACTTGGCACCTAGGATAATATTGTAATAAAGTTTAAAAAAGCGTAAACCGATAATAAATGCCACCAAATCTTTATTTGGTGACATTTAAAATTAAAATATATATGAATAGTTAAACAACTCAAATGATCATTAATGTTATGCATACAGCTGCAGGAGCAGAAGGGTATCAGCCAATGAGGTTACTGCATTGCCGGTCTCTAGAGACGAAGGGCAATTAGAGCAAGAGCAGAATGAAAAGATGAGGAAACAAAAGTTTCAGAAGAAGAGTTTTTGTTTTCATTTTTTTTGTGTGTTTTCTTTTAGTTCGCAAGGATATTTGTGTTCAACTGATGCTTTTGTTGACTTCTGAGTCTTTTTTTTAACTGTTAGCAGGTTATTTTCCTTGTTGTATCTGTTAATGTGAGTATGTTATTGGCAGCTAAGTTAAACCATCCTGAAAAAGTTGTATATTATGTTTCGTTTGTGAAATTAGCAGCTATAAGCTAAGAGAAAGAACACAAGTTCAAGCTGCTCGTGGCAAAGCCACCATTTTAGGTAGTGGTTTGGACTTGAGTCAATGGTAGTGTTACGTACCTTCAAGAGATACTTAAAGCAGGCGGCCCCAAATTATGTAACACGACAGGTGAGCAAAGAGTAACACAATTTATCAGTCAGTGGACATGAGGAAAGTAGTAGTGGGTGGTGAATCACCAATGAGTAGTTCCAAATGGTGTTGACAGTGCTCACTTAACAAAGTTCTCATGGCAAGACACTCTGCCACTGACTGCCTGTGGAGCTGGACCTTATATCCTCCTCTGTTGATTGGAAGGAACCGCCTTCAGGTGCGCAGCTCATCAGCCCAGGAATCAGCACAGCTGTGAAAGAAGAGCACAATCAGCCACTGCACACATCCACAAGCACCACCAGACACCAATATGTATATAATCCCACTGGTTGAGCAGTATTGGTGCTGATATTTTATTGTCATTTATTTTCATGCCACAAGTCTTGTGTGCCCATTCCTTGTGTTACGCCAGGTTAGTTTGTTTTAGTTGGCAATTGCTAGAAAAGATACCCAGAGTTGTGGGGAAAAACATGGAGACATAAGAAGACATAGAAGATCACCGGTTCTCCATAACTAACCTGCTGTCTGTTTATGACCTAAGTTCTTGTTCCCTGGCACTGTCACTGTAGTTAATACTAAGGTTCTTGTTGACCTCCTCTTGTGTGCAGTCAAAATGGCCACAATAATGTAAATATATTAGTCTAGTTATTTGTTTTATTTTAATGCAATCCATGTTATTTCAATATGTTTTACTAACAGTTAGGCTAGAAAACATCAATAAATGCAATTATATTGTCAGTTAATGGTCGTGGATGCCATAAAGATCTTGTACTTAGGGCAGCCAAATGGTAAGCTGTAGCCCAAGGTTCGGACTGGAATTAGACTTTTTCATCATTGTGCCATGCTGACATTGGGTTGTACATGTTCCACTGCCATCAGTAAGAAATAAAATATATAAATAAAATATAACAAACGTTAGATAAATAATTACTAATATTGGGATGTATACCTTTAACAGCCACCAAGAAATTCTGGCAAACCTGTGTATTTTTGATGGGATGAAATCAATATGAAAAGCAGTTTTTAAATGAAGCCCTATAGGCCTTTTATGCCTCATACTTATTTTAAATACATTTTTTAATATGTCACAAGTAATTTGGTCTCAGAAGAGGTTCTCTAGGCTCTGCCCCACAGCGACTTAATTTGCGCTGATAGGTGGTGTATCAACAACTTGTGGGCTGTTGAAAATCAATAAAATGGGATGTCAGTGCATTATAACAGCACTGAGAGAAAGGTGTTACCTGAGGAAACCATGAGAGTAGCTTTATACGGTAGCTTATTTTTGCTAACATTACTTTCCTGCTTTTTCTTTGTTGTGTCGTCACTATTTTATTCCTCCTCTTGTGAGATACAGCGACAATTTTATATAAATGGAATGCAAAAGGCTGGAGATGTGATTTTAGGAGGAATTTTGAAAATTCACTTTTTTTCTACTTTTCCTGACTTGTCTTTCACCTCAGAGCCACAACAACCAGTCTGCCATGGGTGAGAACAAGAAACTAGCACAGAGCAGGATAAAATAAAAACAAGCATATATTATTCAAGAACCATATATTTAAAATATTTTTAATTTACATTTTTACATATATGTATATTTTTGTTTCATTTGTTTGATTCAGTTTGAAGTGATGTTGTAATGTTTTAAAGGAGTAAATTATTTGAATGTTTTAGGTTTGATATTGCAGGATTCAGAAGGGCTCAGACCATGGCCTTTGCTGTTGATGAGATTAACAGAAACCCCAACCTGCTGCATAATGTGACTCTGGGATACAGTCTGTATGATAACTGCATCCACGTAAAGTTGGCTTTACAAGCTGCACTGTCCTTGGCAAATGGTCAGGAGAAAAATGTAAAGTTAGAGAGAACCTGTGAAGGAACTCCTTCAGTCCTAGGAATTGTGGGTGATTCTTCCTCTACACGATCTATTGCCATCTCCAGGGTCTTAGGTTTATACAGAGTACCACTGGTAAGTTTATCCTTTATGTACTCATACTTAATTATTGTGACTAAAAAGCTGTGCAATATTAAAAAGAAGTAGTTGTTTTCCTGTCTTCATGATGCTCTGTGTGATTTTCTTTTACAGGTGAGTTATTTTGCAACGTGTTCTTGTCTTAGTGACAGACAGATGTTTCCATCTTTTTTCCGGACAATTCCAAGTGACTCATTTCAGGTAAAAATTTTAACTTGTAATTCAAAATGCACAAGAGAAAGCATATACAAAGAAAAACTTAAACATTTACGTCAAATTATGTCAAAAATTACCCTGTAAACTGACTCCTCTGTGTCCACATAGGTGCGTGCTATGATTCAGATTCTAAAACACTTTGGTTGGACTTGGGCAGGTCTGCT